CCTGACGAGGTATGTACATAATAATAAAATGAAAATCGCACCTTCAACTCACAAAATGTTTGATAACAAATTTTGTAAGGATTATTATTTCTTTTTACAAAAAACTAATTTAATTTAATTTCAAATTTGTTTCGAGATTACGAAAAATAACTATAAAATCCTGTCTTGAAACTAAACAATTTCAAATTGCTGAAACAAAGCGCATCATTACATATGGGTTTCTTACGAAAGTTTGGTGATCGCTTATGATCACTGATTATAATGCAAAAAATCTTCCTTATAACCATTCAAAAATCTTATATTTTGATCTGTAAAAAAAGGAGTGTAAAAATGGTGCTTTCCCTTCTTGATACATACAAATAAACAAAGTAAACAAAAAAACACTTTAATTTATATCGAATCTGTTGTTGCTTTGCAAGAATTTTTAGAACTTGATATTTTAAAGAATGTTTTGCTCAGTTTTGTAATTTCAGATATCAATGGAATCGAATTAAAATGTATATTTTAAAGAAAAGAATATCCATTCGAAATAGCATAAGAGAACATTAGAACAACTTTTTCACTGATAAGTAATTTAATGATAATAATTTCATCCGGACGTTTTCAACCAGTGAAGGAGACATTTCCGATCCCATAAAGTATCTATATATTCTTGATCAGCATCACTGAGAGAGTCGATCTAGCCATGTCCGTCTGTGCGTCCGTCCGTCTGTCTTTCAAACTTTCCTAAAAGTTGTCTTTCTATTTAACGAGTCGGATAAATTTGCTTAATTATTGTTATAAACTTGCTGTTTTTCAATTTTTTATATAGTTATTTGGTATTTAGTGATGGATTATTTTTTAAATTTGATCAAAATCGGAAGAAAATATCATATAGCTCCCATGGTAACAGTCGGAATATTAAAATAAAAAAGAAAGAAAGCAAACTTCGGCAAGCCGAAGTTCATATACCCTTGCAGCTATTGCATGAATTAAATACTTTTGAAAACATTTAAATTATGATTTACTTGAGTATATGCTGAAAAACATTGAAACTATGATGATTTGCAGCTCAATTATTAGATAGTTAGTTTATATATTTTTATTATTTCTATGGGAGTTATATGCTATAGACGTCCGATTTTCATAAAATTTAAACCATAGTTCTGAAATAATTAAACATTGCTATATGTCAAAGACCTAAACAAAAAATTAAAAAACAGAAAAGTTATATTTTTTTCATTCATTTTTCCGATTGTTCCTATGGGAGCTATATGCTATAGTCGTCCGATTTTGATGAAATTTAAACCGGAATTCTGAAATATTAAACCATTACTATATCTCGAAGAATTAAACAAAAAATTAAAAAACAAAATTAAAAAACAGAAAAGTTATAATTTTTTTTTCATTTATTTTTCCGATTGTTCCTATGGGAGCTATATGCTGTAGTTATCCGATCCGGCTCGTTCCGACTTACATACTACCTGCAATAGAAAGACAACTTTTGGGAAAGTTTCATGCAGATAGCTTTAAAACTGAGAGACTAGTTTGCATATAAACGGACGGATAAGTCGGAACGAGCCGGATCGGACGGCTATACAGCATATAGCTCCCATAGGAACAATCGGGAAAATATATAAAAAAAATTATAACTTAGCTGTTTTTCATTTTATTTTTAGTTCTTCGACATATAGTATTGGTTAATTATTTCAGAATTACGGTTTAAATGTCATCAAAATCGGACGACTATATCATATAGCTCCCATAGTGATGCTGATCAAAAATATATATACTTTATAGGGTCGTCCGATTTTATTGAAATTTAAACCGTAATTCTGAAATATCTAACCATTACTATATCTCGAAGAACTAAAAAAAATTAAAAAACACCAAAGTTATAATTTTTTTAAATTTATTTTTATGATTATTCCTATGGGAGCTATATGCTATAGTCGTCCGATTTTGTTGAAATTTAAACCGTAATTCTGAAATATCTAACCATTACTATATCTCGAAGAACTAAAATAAAATTAAAAAACACCATAGTTATAATTTTTTTAAATTTATTTTTCCGATTGTTCCTATGGGAGCTATATGCTATAGTCGTCCGATCCGGCTCGTCCCGACTTATATACTACCTGCAATAGAAAGACAACTTTTTATGCAGATAGCTTTAAAACTGAGAGACTAGTTTGCGTGGAAACGGACGGACAGACGGACGGACAGACGGACAGACGGACATGGCTAGATCGACTCTCCTAGTGATGCTGATCAAGAATATATATACTTTATAGGGTCGGAGATGTCTCCTTCACTGCGTTGCAAACTTCTGACTGAAATTATAATACCCTCTGTAAGGGTATAAAAAGGAAAAAAAAATTATAACTTATCTGTTTTTTTATTTTTTCTTAGTTCTTCGACATATAGTATTGGTTTATTATTTCAGAATTACGGTTTACATTTCATCAAAATCGGACGACTATATCACAAAGCTCCCAAAGAAATAATAAAAATATATAAAATATCTATCTAATAATTGAGCTGCAAGTCATCATAGCTTCACTGTTTTTCAACATATACGCAATTTTAATGTCTTCAAAAGTATTTAATTCTCGCAATAGCTGCAAGGGTATATGAACTTCGGCTTGCTGAAGTTTGCTTTCTTTCTTGTTTTTTAATAGTTGTTGACTTTTTATAAATTTTACAGTTCAGAATTACGCTTTTAATTTTATTAAAATCGAAAAACGATATCATATAGCTGCCATAGGAACTATTGAATAATTGAGCTCCAAGCTTCAAAGTTGTTAAAAGTAAAGTTTATTTAAAAGTAAATAATAATTTTAATATTTTCAAGAACATTTAATTTTTACAATAGCTGCAAGGGTATATAAACTTCGGCTTGCCGAAACAAAGCTTTCTTGTTTTTAAATGAAACTGTGCTGTATAATTCTCATGCATTGTCAGAACTGTGTGTCGTATTTTTTGATGTATTCTTTTATTGTAACTGGGTTTTGGAGGATTGCTGTAATAGGACTGTAGTTTTAAACAAAAACTTCTGATATCAACCAAAAACACCTGTTGGCGATGTAAATTTAACGTGAAGATCGAATTTTTAACTCCAAAAACTTTTGATATCAGATTTTGTGACGTCTATTATTTATTTTACCAAAAAATAAAACTTCATTTTATTCAATTAGTTTTGTAATCGGTAATGCGCAACCAAATCAGCCTTGTTCCTTACCCATTTCAAAGTAGCATGCCGATTACAAAACTTATTGAATATTTGGATTCTGGTCTAGAAATTTGAAAAAATCGATACATATATTTTTTTTTCATTTTAAATGTTTAGACTTTTAAAAATATGATCTTTAAAAAGTTTTTCAAAATTCGATTTATTTTAGAAGATGCAGCCAATTTTGTGACGTGGCGTCCGAGCCATTATAAATGTTTCGTAAACTTTAAAAGCGTTTTTCTCGAAACTGTTTTGTTTTAGGTGGTTGACATGATATTTCAAGTTCTACTGAACCGATTCCTTTAAAATTTGGTGTATATCTTGCTTTTACTACTCTCTATCGCGTCTGCCTCGGACTTCAAATATTTTGATTTTAAGTATTTTAAAATATTTCAACGGGTCAAAAAAAAGGTCTTTTTTGGTACACAACTAGAAACTAATTGTAATTTACAGTATCGTACTCAGAAATATATAAAACCAACGCATAGGTACAAAAAAATCATTTATACAAAAAGTAAGCGAATACCACAGAAAGGGATTAACTATGACATGGAACTGGGAACAGCCTGGAAATGGATAGAAAATATCTGTAACGGTATATTTTTTATTATTCAAGCCCATTACACAAAATAAGCATAGGCTTGAGTATCATTGGCGTTATCGGTGTTCTGGCTATGTAAAAAAAAGAATGATGTATGTATGTGACTAAAACTTGTTTATTTTATATTTCTGAAAAGATTTTGGCTTTTTAAGATATCTATTACCTAACTATTCTAGCAACAATTAAGCCGATGCACTCAAAATTTTTGATTGAAGGATATTAACTGCTAACTGCTACATTTTTACAACTAAGGTATTCTTTTAATACTTACATTTTACAATGAGATCACCCGTCGTATAAATTTAAATTTTATGCTCACATTCTTTACTGCAAAGCGTAAAACTAATTATGAAATATCAAAATTGTATTCAGCTTCTGTTTTTTATACCCTTGCAGAAAGTATTATAATTTCAGTCAGAAGTTTGCAACGCAGTGAAGGAGACATCTCCGACCCTATAAAGTATATATATTCTTGATCAGCATCACTAGACGAGTCGATCTAGCCATGTCCATCTGTCCGTCCGTCTGTCCGTCCGTTTCTACGCAAACTAGTCTCTCAGTTTTAAAGCTATCTGCATGAAACTTTCCCAAAAGTTGTCTTTCTATTGCAGGTAGTATATAAGTCGGAACGAGCCGGATCGGACGACTATAGCATATCGCTCCCATAGGAACAATCGGAAAAAAAAAAAAAAAATATAACTTTGCTGTTTTTAATTTTTTTCTTACTTCTTCGACATATAGTATTGGTTAATTATTTCAGAATTACGGTTTAAATCTCATCAAAATCGGACGACTATATCATATAGCTCCCATAGGAACAATCGGAAAAAAATGAAGAAAATTATAACTTAGCTATTTTTTAATTTTTTTCTTAGTTCTTCGACATATAGTATTGGGTAATTATTTCAGAATTATGGTTAAAATTTTATCAAAATCGGAAGACTATATCAAATAGCTTCCATAGAAATAATAAAAATATATAAAATAACTATCAAATAATTGAGCTGCAAATCATCATAGCTTCAATGTTTTTTAAACATATACGCAAGTAAATTATTATTTTAATGTTTTCAAAAATTTTTATTTCTTGCAATAGGTGCCAGGGTATATCAACTTCGGCTTACTACTTATTATTATTTGTTATTACTTTTTTGAACAATTGAGACAACACGGTCTATGTATTTTTCTCAAATCTAGATATTTTCCAATTTAGAAAATTGTAATAGCAAAACAGGATTATATTTTAGAATTATAAAACTTTTCATCCTACATATGTATGCGTTTTAAGTGTTCTCTAGCATAAAAATGTTCATAATTTCTTTTTATTAAATTTAAATTTTAGTTAGTATTCAGACACTAAAATTTGACGGTGCATTCATTTACATACGTATGCATATGTAAATATGAATGTGTATACTTCTATATTCCATACCACCGGTTTTCCTATCACAGCTCTTTAGTGATGTGGAGCCCAATGACTTTATTTTCCTCTCCTTTTTCTTGGTCAGTACAAATTTAAAGGCTTAATTAGTCAGCGGATCGAAACCAAAAGGAAAAAAACATTTTCGTCGTTAGCGGCATTCTTGTATACATACATACATACATGTGTACAAGTTGTGTTCGTATACACATACAAAAGTACACATGCATACATACTAACATTTAAAATCCAGTTTCTTTCTCCATTAAGCGACAGAGGCAGGCACAGATTGAAGCATCATCATTATCAAGAAATTGAGCCGAGTTGGCCTTTGGAATTATGTTGTCCGTCGAAGCAGAAAATAAAAAAAGGGAAGAGCAGACAAACAGCCACAATAACAAAATTAAGGGAACGGTTTTGGGTTGAGTATATGTATGTACATATGTACGTATTGTATGTATGTACATTGTACATACAGATTTATGTCGCCATATACGTACATATGCTCATACTTAGTTACCTGTATATACTTATGTACATATGTACATATGTATATATTATTATAACAACTTGACAACCATTGAAAGGATTTAGGTTCTGTGAACGATCTCTTGCTGTTCAATTTCATCTCAAACGTTCACTTGTAGAGCTGCTCTTGCTAATAAAGACATTATTTTACCCTCATTTAAGGTTTAAGCCCTAAAGGCAAAGCCTTTAAAATTGATATACACACAAGCATTTATACTTTGGTTTGTGTATGTGTACATATTTCTTAATCAGTATAGCCAGTCAGTCGATAAATATATATACATACATCAAACATACATATGTACATTAGGGCGGACTCCAGTTCGTATCTTCTTTCTTCTTACCTCTTTTTAATTTTAATTCGGTGAATTTAAAAAGAAACAGTATAGCCAACATAACTATGCTACCTGGTACTTAAATTGCAACAAAAATGATTATTTTAGTTTCTTAAATTTGTTGAATAATTTATCTCATAAATTAGATTCCAGAGTTTTTGATTACCCACACTAGCTTACAATATTAAATCGACAACATACATACATACATACATATGTACTTCAGGATGGACATTACTCGTAAACTGTGGTTACTGTAAACAGTTTTTGCATGTATGTACTTCAACAAAGCCCAGACTTCCGATCTCGTTAAAATGTAAAATATCAATTTCTTTTGAAGCCCATTTTTCGAATAAATAGGTTGACATTGGAAACAAGTACGATTTCTTGAAGATTTAAACGTTTAAAAACCATTTTGAATGTGCTAGAAGATTCCAAAACAGGACCTTTATCAAAAAATATTTTGTACGTAGAATACGTTTAAAAATTTTAAAACGGGTGGTTAAGTGGCTGGGTCGAGTTGTAGAGATGGAGAACACAGATGAAAACATTGATGCACCGATTTTTTTTTTAAAATTTTGGGGACATCGGTGTTTTTTGGTGACCATCGATGTTTTAACCACATCACTAATGTAAAGGAAACTCAAAGGTATTAGGGTAAATAAAAAGTTTTAAACTAAATTATTATGTTTATTGATATATTTTTAGACATTTATTTATTTATGTAGGATACGGCGGTGGATCTTTAGTCATGGAAAAATTATAAGAATTCAAAAATGTAATAGCCGAATTGCGGCATTTAAATTCTCAGGGCTTCCCATAAGGCAAATCCTGCTGGCAGGTCCACAATAAATTTCTGCTAGACCTCTGGCAGGAAAAAAAACCCCACTTGTACGAGAATCTTTGCTCTTTTTTTAGGAATTGTAGCAAACCCGTCAAACAACACCAACAGCTCCCCTTTCTTGTCGTTAAAGTTGGCATTAGCCTCGTTCGCATTATGGATGTCCTGCTAAGCATTAAAGGTTTCCCTAAACTCGCCCATATTCATGATATTTAATTCATTTCGTTTTGATTTGCGAAATTTCAAGAGTAAGCAAAGCCAGATCAGCTGTTCGTGCCACTCAAATGTCGGAGTAGCACTAGCTAAAAGCTAATGCGCCAATGGAATCAGGCACATTTAAAAAGTCCACTAATGCGGCTATGGAATCCGGCTATAACACTAAGGGGAGACCCTTAGGCCAAAACACAATTTTTTTTGGAAACATCGATGTCTTATCGATGTTTCTTCAAAAACACTGAAAAATCGATGTCCGCGAACATCTGTTTCTCCACCTCTATCGAGCTGGAACAAAAATCGATTTTAGCTCGATACTATCGATGTTTTCAATAATTCGCATTATAAATACACTTACGTGAGTTTTGTTATCGCAGTTAGCCTTATCACGCAGAACTATCGTATACACTTATTTAACTCGAGTATATGTGCTTTGCGGAAAAAAATATTTGTTTTAATTTGTACATGAAAATTAAACGAATTTGGGACAGCAACAGTAATGCTAACAAACCTATAGTTTATAGGAAGGATAGGAAGACAATGATGAAAAACATATTTCCAAACAGTAAACCGAAATGTATCCAATACGCTGTGTTTTTACAAAGGCTGTTTTGAAGAGTTTGTAGGAGTAATATCCTCAATCATATTTCAGGCATTTGAAAAAATCCAAAAATCCAAATCCAGCCTAGTTATACTCACGCACGTCACCTATCGATATCGGAATAGGAGTAATGAAGCAGAATAGGCTGTCACACTTAAAATTTTTTTTTCTGAATCAACAATATGTACAGAACATTCTGCACAAATCCGAGAAAAACTAACGGTCGATTCAAACGACCGGCCGTGCTACCAGAATGTTCAAAGCTGAAATTCAACTGAACTGATCCTTTTGAAAATTTTAACATTACTTCTTCACTCTAATAAGCATGTAATAAAGACAATTTGTTTTCTTCTATTTTTATACCCTTGCAGAGGGAATAATAATTTCAGTCAGAAGCTTGAAACGCAGTGAAGGAGACATTTTCGACCCTATAAAGTATATATATTCTTGATCAGCATCACTAGGAGAGTCGATCTAGCCATGTTTGTCCGTTTCTACGCAAACTAGTCCCTTAGGGTTAAAGCTATCTGCATGAAACTTTCCCAAAAGTTGTCTTTCTAAACTAAACTTCTAAACTTAAAAAATTATAACTTTGCTGTTATTTATTTTTTTTTGTTCTTCGACATATTACCATTACTATATAGTAATGGTTAAATATTTCAGAATTACGATTTAAACTTCATCAAAATCGGACGACTATATCATATAGCTCCCATAGGAACAATAAAAAAAAATACAAACAAAATTATAACTTTGCTGTTTTTTTAGTTTTTTTTAGATCTTCGACATATAGTAATGGTTAAATATTTCAGAAATACGGTTTAAATTTCATCAAAATCGGACGACTATATCATATAGCTCCCATAGGAACAATCGGAAAAAAAATGAAAAAAAAATTATAACTTAGCTGTTTTTTAATTTTTTTTGTATTTCTTCTAGGTTAAATATTTTAGAATTAAATTAAATTATATCAAAATCGGACGACTATAGCATATAGCTTCCTTTAGAAATAATATAAATATGTAAAAAACCTATCTAATAATTGAGCTGCAAATCATCATATCTTTTTAAACATATACGCAAGTAAATCATAATTTTAATGTTTTCAAAAATGTTTAATTCTTGAAATAGCTGCAATATACCCTTGCAGAGGGTATTATAATTTCAGTCAGAAGTTTGCAACGCAGTGAAGGAGACGTTTCCGACCCTATAAAGTATATATATTCTTGATCAGCATGAAACATTCCAAAAAATAGTCTTTCTTTTTCAGGTATTATATAAGTCGGAACGAGCCGGATCGGACGACAATAGAATATAGCTTCCATAGGAACAATAAAAATATTAAACAAAAAATTTTTTTTTTACAACAATCGGAAAAATAAATGAAAAATATTATAACTTTGCTGTTTTTAATTTTTTTTTATTTCTTCGACATATCGAAGTTTCATCAAAATCGGACGACTATAACATAAAGTTCCCATGGAAACAATAAAAATATTAAAAAAAATTTTTTTTTAATTAACTTTTTTATTTTGTAATTTTTTTTAGAAATTCTTTTTGATTATTTATTTATTTGAAAGTTCAGAATTACGCTTTTAATTCTATTAAAATCGGAAAACGATATCATATAGCTGCCACCCAAATAATTGTGCTGCAAATCATAATAGCTTCAATGCTTTTTAACATACACGCAAGTAAATCATAATTTTTATGTCTTCAAGAATATTTAGTTTTTGCAATAGCTGCAAGGGTATATTAACTTGCCTAAGTTGGCTTCCTTTCTTGTTTTCCTTTGATTTTTCTTACATTCCTTAAAAGTTGTATAATAATAATAAAATTATGGTGTGCTTTAACTGGCTCAAGGTCTGGGTATTTATAGTGCCTAATTTCTTTGTTCAAATAACATTTTCTTCTCTTTTCACCAATATATTTTAAACTCATTCGGGTCCGTCTTCAGGGCTGTAATCATACCCTCATATCCACGAACTCTAATCCTAACCCCCACCCATTTGTGCGTCCCCACGACTGCTTGTGCGCGAACGTGTGAAATTATAACTTTGATAGTTTTGATCAAAAAGAACAATTTTTAATTTTCGATTTTCCTTTGTTCTTGGGTAGTATTGGGGGCTTGCGGGAGTAGCGTATCCGGCCTATCCTAGACAAGCACCACGGGTTCGTGGTGTCTTAGCTAACCGCCGCTCCTGACCACCGCTCCTGACCACCGTTCCCGACCGCCGCTTCAGAAAGTCCCCATTCCTGACACACGTACCCACAAACTTAAACCCCGCTGACAAAGCAGCAAAACTTGGTCCAAAGAACTAGTGCGAGCGGGTCGCCCAGGTTTCGGATAGCAAATGGCCCTACAAGGTCAGTTGTGATTAGCAGTCCCGGGCCGGACTAAGGTGTAAGCCGGTCCGTGGCGAGAGTCAGCCAGGTTGAGGGTCTGGGTTGAAAACTAGCTCAGTCTCTAACGGTGGGCTCAGGGAAACGGTAACCCTCTGTTCTATCTTTCACCTTACCCGGGCATCACGGATCTCTGCTTGGGGTTTCCCTTTCTCCGCAACTCGTGGAATCTGGTACTCCCCAAAAAACCCGATACAAAGACGAAGAAGGGTGCTGTAACTGCTGCAGACACAGCGAGTGTTGGCTCCACCTGCGTTGGCACCAGCCTTGGGGCTTTCCCGAAAGGGACCCATCCCAAACTAGGCATGAAAGCTGGCGGACAGTACTTCTGGTAAGAGCGCGTCGGCGACAGCACCCGCAGTAGATACAGCCCAGTTGAAGAAGGTGGAATGGGCAGAGAAGGTGTTCCCGAAATATGGCCAAGAACGACTGAATAATGAGACCGCACAGCCAAAGAGGCAGCGATCCATAGAATTGCCTGGACCTGCGGCGAAAAGATCGAAGGTTCCATATACGGACATTAGGCGGGAGACCCAGGAGGCCGGATCCCAAGGAACAAGTGGAGGGAAGTGGAGGGGTAGCTGGCCGTCATTTGTGTGGCACTGTTTCGGGGCTTCCCACTAAATTCGCCATTCGGCAGGGTAGTGGGCTGCGACAGCCAGAGGCCATAGTCGTTCTGAACAAAGAGTAGGTTTCCCAAATGGAAGCTGCTTACGGGGAGCTGAACTTCGGTTTCAGCTCGATCCGTACACCAATTTACACCAATTTTTTTGCTTCATAAATTCACTAATGGAGACAACACCGTGGCAAGCAGCCACGATCGGGCTAACATTGGCCAACATGACCTTCGAAAAGGATGATCCTCCAGACAAGCTAGTCAGAGAACTGGTTGAAGAGAGCGAGGTGTTCAAAATAGGCCTGGTAATCGGCTGCGACGCAAACGCTCACCACACAATCAGTGAGGAAGCCCTTCAAGCAACAACAGGGAAGAGTGTCTTTTTAATTTCATCCTTGGCTCAATTTTATTCCCATGTAACAGGGATAACAACCGCACTTTTATCACAAGAACTAGACAAGCGGTCATTGACCTTACCTTAGTATCGGGTCCTCTACTCGACACATTGAGAGAATGGGAAGTCTCGAATGAGCACTCCTTCTCTGACCATAGATTCATAGAAACCACGCTATCACTAGACGCTCCCATTCCAGTTGAGTTAGTTTACCTCAGACGAACATGGAGGATCTTTCCATGGAGCCCCCAAATGAACAAAACAATCTATCTAGCCTAAAAAATCTAGTAGGAAAATTTACTGAAGCTTGTAAAATAGCCTACCTCCTATAGGAGGTAAAAAACCTCCTTGGTGGACCCAAAACATCTCGGAACTCAGATCTAGCTGCATAACCCACATCAATAGGGCAAAGGCTGGATGCGAGGGTGCGAAATGGCAGCAATACAAACTTAAATTAGCTTTACATAAGAAGGCAATCAGAAAAGCAAAAAAATCTGCTTGGCAGATTTTCTGCTCAAATATAGAAGAAACAACTAAGGCCGCCAGGCTCAGGAAAATACTCTACAAATCATCCCCATCTCTGGGATACCTACAGAAAGTAGACGGCTCATGGTCTGGCTCAAGCCAAGAGTCCTACTTCTAGACATTCAATTCCCAGAAAGAGTACCGGTGGAACCTCTCCCAGAGGCTCAGGCATCAATCTGGAAATGCTTCTATCCGAACGAAACATAAAATGGGCCATTAACAGCTTCACCAGGAATTGATCAACTATCACCTGCACATATACAACATGCAGGACAGCCGGCCATTAATTGGCTAGGAAAAATTGTTCAAAATATTCTAGCGATAGGAACCCTACCGTCAACATAGAGGGAATAAAAAAGTGGTCTTCATATCTTTCAGACCGATAAATATGACCTCCTTTTTTCTTAAAAGTTTTGAGCGGTTGATTGGACTGCACATAAGGACAAACATTTACCCAAAATAAATATCGGCAGCACAGCATGCATTCTCAAAAGGAAAATCCACAGAGTCAGCGGTAGTCAGCCAAATCGCTAAGGCTCTCCGTTTCAAGGAAATTGCACTAGTTGCATTCCTAGACATAGAAGCCTGCACAATGTACTTCCCGCAGCCATGACCGAATCCCTCGGACCCCAATTGCGGAACTAATCCATAAATTGCTGATAAGCAGAATGGTAACATTCACATTGGGAATCTCAACAAAAACACCTCAGGGAGTGGTACAGTGTCCCTACTATGGAACATCGCAGTAACTGCTTTGTAAATTAGAAGAAGGCGGATGCAAGGTTGTGGCATATGCAGAAAATGTAGCCATCATCTTTACAGGCAAAATCCCACAAACTCTATGAAATCTGATAACCGCGAAGCTAAAAGTATGCTCTGACTGGACAGCGGAGAAAGGACTGGGAGTAAATCACTCAAAAACTGAACTAATGCTGTTTTTTAGTAAATATAAGGTTCCACAATTAAGATCCCCATTCTCTTCTTTAGTAACAACGTTAGACACCTGGGGTTAGTACTAGAAAAGCGTCTGAAATGGAGAGTGCACATAGAAAAAGTCAAGCTTATTCTTCTCTACGGAGTATCTATCTGGCGGCCTGCGCTAAGCAAACCTAAACCAAGAGAGAACAATTGCCCTCTATACCTGCAAGAAGGCCATCTGGACAAAATGGGTCGTGTCCCCAAAAATCGTCAACTGGAAATACATAGCAATAGTCAAGCCTATTCTACTTTACGGAGTATCTATCTGGTGGCCTGCGCTAAATACGCAGACAACCACAGCAAACCTAAACCAAGAGAGAACAATGAAAGCAACAATTGCCCTCTACACTTGCAAGAAAGCCATCCTTATAAAATGGGTCATGACCCCAAAAATCGTCAACTGGATATTCATAGCAATAGTCAAGTCTATTGTACTCTACGAAGTATCTATCTGGTGGCCTTCGCTAAATAGGCAAACAACCACGGCAAACCTACACAAGGCTCTGGTGATGGCATCCCTATGCATAAGTCGTGCCCTTCGCAGTATCCCATACAACGCGCTGAACGCTATGTTGAGCCTTCCTAGTCTGGACTTAGCCGGCTTGGAACGGGCTAAAATAGCAGCGGTTTGGTTGAGAGACACTGGACAATGGAAATACCATACATATGGTCATGTCAGAATTCTGAAGCAGACAAATCAATACGACCTATCCAACGGACCTATGTAAACCAATAGAATTTGACAACACCCCTTTTGAAATCCTGCTCCCAAGTAGGGAAGACTGGGAGCACGGTCAGCCGGAGCCCACAAAAGCATATAGCATCTACAGTGAAGGCTTAAATCTAGATAACCACGTCGGTGGAGGTATATACTCTGATCAACTTAAGATTAGGAAATCCTTCAAGACTTCCTGATCACTGCAGCGTCTTCCAAGCCAAAAGAGAAGCACTTGTGCATGAAAATAAGCTGCTATTAGGTCTATATATGAGACCAACACAAACTCTCATACAATATCAAACTGTCGCAGATCTCTGCACGAGATGGCTCCGCAGGGTAACATCAACCTGATATGGGTTCCTGGACATCGGAACATCGCAGGCACTACTATACCTCTCCTTCCGGATAAGGAAAACATTGGTATATCGATGACTACCTGTAAGCAAAATATAAAAAACCCATATAAACGACGAGCCAATCTGTCTTAGTAGATCTTACATTCTGCCATGCTAGCTGCATTTCTCGCCAAACATGGCCCATTATAGAATCGAAAAGAACGACGAAATTACTAAGACTCAACCGTACCGAGTGCGATATGATTATCACAGATCACTGGTTAGTGGGTTTATATGCCAGCAGACTGGGCGCTCCCCAAAATGATTTCTGCAGCAGCTGACGAGGAGGAAGAGGAAACGGTGGAACACCAGTTCTGTTCCTGTCCGACCCAATGCAGATTGAAATTAAATCACCAAGGAGATTCCTTCATGATAAATCTCTCAGAACTTGCTAACACAAGCCTAACAGGAATAATAACGTTAATAAAAGCAACCGCATGGGATCTTTGCTAAATCAGCTGCAACGGAGCAGCAGACACAAGTCGCGTGGAGCACCACTCAAGCCTATGACGATTACAAGACTGGAACTATAAGGATCCTGGCTAGGAGCTAGGCTAAGCAAAGCTGTTAAGGAAACACTGAGTTTCAGAACAGACTAAACTTTTTTGTGGACAGACTCAGAAATTGTTTTGTATTGGCTGAAAGCCAACAGCAAAATGTTCAAAACGTTTGTAGCTTAGTGCCAGGAAAAAATCTAAGAACTTACAAATTTGAGTGAGTGGAGGCAAGTACCCGCAAAATTGGGCCCCGCTGACAAAGTAGCAAAGATTTCAACCTTTGAATTTTCATCAAATGAATTTTGGTCGAGAACGGTCCGATAGAAATGACAGTCAATTTGTAAATACCGTCTAAGGGCAGGTATTTATTTTGCCAGACGTCACAAGGTTCTCTAATTGGATGAGATTTTTAAGAACTAAAGCTTGGGTTATAAGGTATTCGGCAAGCTTTAGCCAAGTAGAAGAAATTTTCCAATTAGAAATTGTTAGCAGTATATTGGAAGCTGTATAGATCAAGTGGATATAATATGTGACTATTTAATAATTTAATAATAATAACACTTGTGTTCCATTCCGATGTTCCAATAATGTAGAATAAGTAGTAAGGACTATGTGAAGATCAGAATAGGGTAACACTTGAATTAAGAGAGACAATAGGAAGCAGACGTGAAAAAGCTAAGCTGAACAGAAATTAAATAAAATAAAAACTCAAGAATTGAAATAAATAATATAAACCTGCGTCAACAACTTCAGAAGTGGGATAGTCCCATTAATACATTCGCCTACATAACCATACCTGAGAGCACACATTTTTTTTCCGCTTTTATAATTACGACGCCATTCTGAAATGGACAAGACACAAATTGGTGAGTGGCTACAAGCCAACGAAATCGAGTTCCCTGCAAGTGCAACTTTAAGGCAATTGCGCAAGCTCGCTTTGGATGTTGGATACCAAGAAGTGGCTGAAATCCCAGAAAGCATATTGGAGGAGGAGAACTCCAAAATGGAAGTATTAAGCCAAGGAGCCGCTACCGAAGGCATCCAGACATTGGAAGAAGAAGAAACACTGCTTGACGCCGCCATAAGGGTTGCTGAGAAGAAAAAAATATTGGCCGGATTGATGAAAAACGTCGACAAAACGACAGATGACCTCCAAATGGTGAAGCACCTCGTGAGCCCGTTTTCTGCCACTGAAAATGAGGAAGCCCTTAAGTGGATTTTGAATTTTGAGAGAGTCTGCAGAGATATCAACACATGTACAAATTTTCAACTGCGCTGCGTACGAATGTTGATGAAATCGGGTACAGATGCCGACTTGTTTGTGAGTGTTGATCGATCGAACACTTACGACGAATTTAAGACAAATTTCATAAAAACATTCGGTCGTGGAAGCTCAACTGCTGATATTGTATTGCTACTTAAGGAAACCATGTTCAACCCCGCGAAGAACACCGTTATGGGATACATACTTCTGATGGAGGAAATTGCTATGCGTGCAAATATTAACGAAAAATTGACAGTGCAGTTCGTCATTGACGGTTTTCGCGATCGTTCAGCCAATATCGCTATATTGTACACAGCAACAACAATCGCACAATTGAAGGAATTGGCTTGGAAGTATGGCAATCTAAGGAAGAAGTCACACAATTTTCCTCAGCGCATGGAAAATACTGGAGGAGATCGGAAAACAGTCCGGTGCTACAATTGCTCTGCTTATGGGCACTACGCTTCGTCGTGCACTGCGCCGAAACGCGAGAAGGGATCTTGTTTCCGTTGTGGATCCCTCCAACATATGCTAAAGGATTGTCAGCAGAAGCCAGCAAGTGATCCGAGAGTGGTGGGAGCAGCCAACAACCAGCCGATACGAGATGACGAAGAGGAGCCTAATATGTTTATTCCGATTTTTAACCAGGTAGGAGTATATTTTTACACTGATTGCCAACATAAGCCTAACGTAACTCTTCTGTCTGCCATGTTCGATACGGGAAGCGCCATTAATTTAATTCAGCACTCTGCGATTCCTTATAAAAACTTTAGCGATATACTGGTCCCGACGAAATACTATGGAGTTAATGGATTTAGAATTAAAACATTCGGAAAAATTTTTGTCAGGCTCGTTTTTCAAAACATAGAAGAAGAAATTTCATTTTTTGTTGTACCGAATAATTATGTTTCAAGTAATGTTCTGTTAGGCCGTAAGTTTTTTGAGAAATTTGGAATAAAATTGATTTCTAAGGATAAGGTAAAAGAAATTGTAGAAGTGAATTTATTTAAGGATAGTGAATCATTGAAAATAGTGAGTATTGAACCAATAAATAGACTTCAGAATAGTGAAATATATAGAGACAGTGACCATTTAGAAAGCAGTAGAGATTTTGAAGAGTTGTGTATAGAAAAAGAAATAGTTAGTGACGACAGCATTCCGTATATATATAGTATTGATGTATTTCAGGATGATGAAAGTTTTGACATTGACCCGAAGTTAAGTGATGAAGATCGAAGCGAACTCAGTGAAATAATAAGATTGAATTACTTATGTTTATCTAACATCCCAGAGATTCAACATAGTTATGAAATGAGGCTAAGACTTAAGTCTGAAGAACCGGTACGCACTGTACCAAGAAGACTTTCGTATCAGGAGAAGAAAGAAGTAGATTCAAAAATTGATGAGTTATTGAAAAAAGGATTCATAAGAGAAAGCAATTCACCCTATAGTTCCGCTATCGTTCTTGTTAAGAAAAGATCTGGAGAAAAGCGTATGTGTGTAGATTATAGACAACTTAATAAGATAACCGTTCGAGGCGGATACCCCCTTCCCCTCATAGATGACTGCTTAGAGAGATTAGAAGGAAATAAGTATTTTACATTGTTAGATTTGAAAAATGGATACCATCAAGTGAAAGTAGCAGAAAGTTCCGTGCAGTATACAGCATTTGTAACACCTTCCGGTCAATATGAATATACAAGAATGCCTTTCGGACTCATGAATGCACCCGCAGTATTTATGAGATTTATTAACTTTATTCTGCAACCTTTGGTTCGCGAAGGAAATGTAGTAGTTTATATAGACGATATAGCTATAGGCTCGAAAACATTGAACGAACATTTTAAGATTGTAGGAAGAGTATTACGAATTTTAGCAGAGTACCGATTGGAAATTAAAATAAATAAGTGTCAGTTCGCTTACAAAAGCATTGAATTTTTGGGGTATACACTGAGTGAAAAAGGAATAAGTCCGAATTATGAGCACACATCAACTATTAAACATCTTCCGATACCAAAAGATCGCCATGGAATGCAGAAATGTTTAGGACTATTTTCTTACTTTAGGAGGTTTATTCCGGCATACTCAAAAATAGCAAAGCCATTGCAAGAGCTCACAAAAGCAGGTGTTAAGTATGAACTTAGTGAGGATTGTATAAAAACTTTTGAATATCTTCGTGACAAATTAATTTCATCTCCCATATTATCCTTGTACAACCCAAATCGAGAGACTGAATTGCATTGCGATGCAAGTAGCGAGGGATTTGGAGGAATTTTGTTGCAAAAGCAGGATGATAATAAGTTTCACCCAATAGCCTATTTTTCACAAAGAGCTACAAAACTAGAAGCTAGATATGAAAGCTTTAAATTGGAAACATTAGCTGTAGTTTATTCATTACGAAAATTCAGAATATATTTAGAAGGAATTCCGTTTAACATAGTAACAGATTGTAATGCAGTAGTTTTGTGCCTAGGGAAAGGACGCCTTAACTCGAGCATTGCCAGATGGGCTTTAGAATTGGTTAATTACAATTATACCCTTAAGCATCGTAGTGGAAAATATATGACTCATGTTGATTCATTAAGTAGATACCCTTCAGCCTTAAATGAGAGTTTTGAATATGAACCAGTAGTGAATATCCAAAATAGTGACAACAAAGATCAAATAGTTTCAGTAATTGACAGTGACGACATCAACCTTCAGCTTCAGATAACGCAAAATAGAGATAGTGTTATAGTGAAATTGAAAGAACAATTAGAACAAGGAAGTGTGAAGAACTTTATATTAAGCGATGGAATTGTTTATAGATTAGGTGAGAATGATATTGAATTGCTATATGTACCAGCTGAAATGGAATCTCATATAATTAGGAGGGTTCATGAAAATTTATGTCATTTAGGTTCCGAGAAGTGCTTAAAAGAAATAATGAGACACTATTGGTTTCCGAACATGAAAGCTAAAATAGATGCATTTATTGGAAATTGCTTAAAGTGTATCATGTTTACGGTACCCACACATGCGAATAATCGAACACTTCATAATATACCTAAGCGACCAATTCCGTTTGATACATTACACATAGACCATTTTGGACCTTTACCTTCAGTTATATCGAAAAAGAAACATTTGCTAGTAATTATTGATGGATTTACCAAATTTGTTAAGTTGTATCCAGTGAATTCAACGAGTACAAAAGAAGTCAACATGTGCTTTTCGAAATATTTTCAATACTATAGTCAACCACGTAGAGTTGTAAGTGATAGAGGTACATGTTTTACGTCATTAGAATTTGCCAAATTTTTATTAGAAAATAATATCGAACACGTTAAGGTAGCAACTGCGTCACCTCAAGCGAACGGACAGGTGGAGAGAGTAAATAGGACAATAAAAGCGATGCTGGCCAAGATAACTGAACCAATTAAGCATGAAGACTGGAGCAAACTTTTAGATAGGGCCGAATATGCCATTAATAATTCAATGCATTCAACTACAAATGAATTACCCTCAGTATTATTATTTGGAGTTCAGCAGAGAGGTTGCAATATTGACGCATTAACAGAATACTTAGATGATAGAAATGATATACCACAGAGTGATTTAGAAAATGTGCGTAAGAATTCTTCAGATAAAATAGAACAGTGCCAGAAAAGGAGCAAAGAATATTTTCAGAAAAATCATAAAGATCATATAGAATTTGAGGAAGGCGATTTTGTTGTAATGCGAAACATTGACACTACAATTGGTACAAACAAAAAGTTTGTACCAAAGTACAAAGGAACATATATCATTAAAAAGATATTGCCAAACGATAGATATGTCATAAGTGATATTGAAAATTGTCAAATTAGTCAAATTCCCTATGAAGGAATTGTAGAAGCATGTCGGATACGAAAATGGGCAGATTGGCGTAATCAGTGTGAAATTGACTCCTAATATATGCTAAATTAATTTAATTATATATCATAACTAGTCAAAATTATTACTAACTAAAACATATAATATTAAGAAAACTTTTATAATATTAGAAACCCACGATCGAGGACGATCTAATTGTCAGGATGGCCGAGTTAGCAGTATATTGGAAGCTGTATAGATCAAGTGGATATAAGATGTGACTATTTAATAATTTAATAATAATAATACTTGTGTTCCATTCCGATGTTCCAATAATGTAGAATAAGTAGTAAGGACTATGTGAAGATCAGAATAGGGTAACACTTGAATTAAGAGAGACAATTGGAAGCAGACGTGAAAAAGCTAAGCTGAACAGAAATTAAATAAAATAAAAACTCAAGAATTGAAATAAATAATATAAACCTGCGTCAACAAAATCTTTATTTTTCTAAATATACGACAAGATTGGTACCATCAGAAAACAGTTAAACTTAAGCGCAATGAATCGGTGTAAGTTGGCACCGATAATAAGTTTAAATGGACAACCCTTGCTTTTATCTAGCGACAATTTTTTGAGACTCAGAGGTAGGCTAAATAACTTATGTGACGAAGAAATGGACATTGTTTTGAAATTTTAAATTAAATATTTCGGCCCAATGAAAAAGACCCAGAACAGAAGCCATATTAAGCGGTATGGGGTTATATTTACATGCATGGGAACACGGGCGGTGCATCTTAAGATAGCTAAAGACTTATCCTGCAATGCGTTTATACATGTATTTTGTCAATTTGATTTAAGGCGTCGATTTTCAAAGAAATTATGTTCAGACAATAGCACCAAATTAGGGCGAGCCGACAAAGACATGGCCAGATGACAAAATAACACAGTTTCTAACGACAACAGGTTGCACATGGTATTTTAATCCACCCTTGTCCCCTCACATGAGAGGAGCTTGAGAAAGACTCATACAAACTGTCAAAAAATATTTAGAATAACTAAATGAAAGGTTTCTTAAAGAGTAGTTTTTAAAAACTCTGTTTTGTGAAATTGAGTTTATGATGAACAGAAGACAACTTTAATTTGTGCCTTCTGACTCTCTTTCTGTTAATTGGTCCTAACTAGCGAGACTCGTTGTATACTATTATACTTTGAGACTTTTAAATATGAGGAAATTGTCGCAAGGACTAGCGGACATCATTTTGGTTATAGTGTAAAAAGGAACACACACAATTTCTTATTTGTAGTCGTAAGTGGACAAAAGACAGTAATGTTTTAAAAGAAGGTAATGAGTGTGGTCTTGTTGATGAAATCTGATTAGCCTAGAAATGTATGGCGAAAAGGTATTGTTAAAATATAAACATCAAAAGATGGGCGTGTACGATTTTTCAACAACTCTAAGAATAAAAACAATATTTATAAGAGCCTACTGTAAAATTAATTAAGGTCTATGTAAAACCCAACATATTGTGAATTCTAAGTATACCCGCGGACTCTGTTCAAGTTATTTACGTCTCCAATACTTGGGAGGAGGAATTTTATCGAAAGTGTTGTGAGAAAGTTATGAGAAGGTTGCCACTTCTTAAAAATTTCTTTACATTTTGTCAAGCTATTGGACAAGCCAGTCGACAAGCGCACAAAGTCTTGAAAACTGGGACAAATATGTTCAAAAAACGACATACTAATATTTCGTTATGACCAAAAATCGGTCATTTGAGCCCCATAAGTAACTTGGCGAACTCCTTGATCAGGTACCTGCTCCAACGACCCCTATACTTTTTAGTTTAATTTTATATGGCCTTATTTTTAAACCAAATATTTTTTTAACACACACCACATACATTTTTTTTTTGGGTGCTCACTTCTTTAAAGTGGATGTTTGCAGACGCTATAAGCGAATATTTCGGACGTTTCTGGCCTATCGGTATGCAATGTTCTGATACTATCACCCCTAGCTCAATTGTTTAAGCCAAAATTCAAAATTA